TGCGTGGGTTTAGGTTCAAGTGTTGAAGTGCAAGTACATAGTCTCCCACTGCAAGCGGCGGGATACTGGGTACTTGAACTTGGACATCAGGGGCGTGGGGGTAGGGCGGGGGTTGGGTGGGGGTTGGGTGGGGCCTGGATGGGGGTGCGTATGGCAGAGCAGAGGCAGCCTCAGGCAGACATCAATTTCATTCGTGAGCCTAGTGAAATAACACATTGATTAGCATATCATCCATATTTGGCATACCAAATTCACAACACATTCATAATGAGGGCAACCATAACATGCATGTGTGTGGCATCAGACAAAGATACAATTTGCAATATTGCGACAATAATTTTCACTCTGTGCGGGACATTTAAGACAACAAAACACTCACCGAACAACAACGACTCATATGCAAAAGTGAGTGTGGAAGAGGAGCGTGTAGAAGAACAAGACAATGAAAAAGAAAACTCCACTCCAAATGCACATGTGTGTCTCTGAAGCCAAAAACCGGACCCGTCAACGTCAACCAAACCGTGACACACGGTGCCTCACAAAAAAAACTAAGGCGATCATACCATCCGTCCCTGTGGAAACTACCCTATGAAAACAGCGTCATGTACAAAACTATGATACAACCTCGAGCAACAACATCAACATGAATATGAACGTACCTTGTCAAAACGACGTCCTGTAAAAAAAAAAAAAAAAAAAAAAAAAAAACAAATAAAAAAGGCACTAACGCCTCCCTCTTCCTGCGGAAGGTCCACATCCTCTGCCTCCGGACGGACGCCCGCGGCCTCTCCCCGTGGACTGTCGACCACGCGCTCCTCTCAGGCCCCCTCCACCACCCGTGCCCTGCGCACCGCTGATGTATGCCGCCTGTGCTACCGCGGCTGCCACGGACACGGCCGCTCTATGTCTACGGACTGCAATGTCGATCGGCTCGGACTCTGTGTCCGCGTCCTCGTCCTCGGCCTCCGCTGCAGCAATTGTCTGTTGCTGCCTCTGAAACACGTCCAATGCAGCCTGGCCAGCGGCGAGCTCTGCTGCGATTCGAGCCTCAACCTCCGTGATGGCGCTCTGTCGTCTACTCCCACTCCGCATTAGCAACCCCTCCTCGTGAGATGTGTAGTGCTGACCCTGCTGCATGTCCGCAGCTGTCCCTCGGGCCGGAATCGGCGGTGGGATAAAAAATCTCCTCGTCGCTGATCGAGACAAACCAAGCATGCGGCCTGCTATGTGAACACTCGGACGTCCGGAGCCACCCTTGCTGCTGGCCGCAAACTGAAACCGAGGTGACAAACGTCCTGGGAAGGCGCCCTCTCGGCGTCGTAATCCGCCCTCATCCGGTCCGAGACCCAGCGATGAGCTGCCCATCCGCCAGCAACACCACCTGCGACAGGCGGCGGGGAACTGGCAACGGGCGCACAGCGGTAGTCGCGTCGGCGCCGCCCTCCGTGCTTCGTGCGGGTGGCGAAGACATCGATCCGGCAGATCCGCCGCCGTCACCGCGGCGGCCCGACCCGCCATCAACCGACCCGGACTCCCTCCCTCTAATGCCGCTGAGCGAAGAACCTGACCATCTAGGGCTATCCACAATGTACGGCGGAGGCTAATACCCCGTCCAGGAGGGCGCCTCTCGTCGGTGCTGCGGCCCGTGTGGGGGAAAGGGTCATGTGAACCGAGTCGCGGCAAATCCTCGGGCCGTGTGAAAGGTAGTGTAGGCACTGACGGGTCCCTCAAGACCAAAGCCAGCCTACTCTCATCGCCGTGGTCGTCGTCGTGGTCGCCGTCGTCGCTGTCGTCGCCGCCGTCGTCGCCTTCGTATCGCCGGTGTCGCCGTCGTCGCCACCATCGCCGTGGTCGCCGCCTTCGTCGCCGTCGCCACCGTCGTCGCCGTGGTCGTCATTGTGGTCCGACCCCTCCTCGTCCTCGTCCTCGACCTCGCCGCCACCATCTCCCTTCTCGTCCTCGCCGCCATCATCTCCCTCAACACCTGTGGGTACACCAGCTCCCTCAACACCCATGGGCACACCCTCTCGGGCCACCCCCACATCAGCCTCCCCACCAAAACCCACGTCCCTTCAGTCACCGCCGCTACCCCCCCCTGTCTCCAGCTCCCTTCGTCCCCGCTACTCCTCCATATACGCGGGACGACCATCCCATCCCGACAAAGTCCACAGCCGCTCCTCCTCCTCTCTGTCCAGTCGGGCATTCCGGTCGTCCTCGGTCTCTACATGGCCCCACACATCAGAATCGTCGAGGAGCATGTCCGACAGCGAGGCACCCCTCTGTCTCGGGGCACTTAGATACCCCAAACCCCCGCCAGAGCCGTCGACGTAGAAGTCGTCGGTGCGCAGCTCGGACGGCGAGCGGTGGCGGACACCGGCGCCGGATGGAGTCCTCTCCATCTCCAGAATGTCCGCAAGCCCGGTCCCCTCATGGTGCTTGGTCGCTGGTGTCTACTGTCTCTCCGCTGCCTATGCCGACCTCGTCCTCGACCTGGTAGGCTCGGGCGCTCCCGTGGTCCCATGATGAGAGGGAGAGAACCAACGATCCCGAAGGCGCACCTCCTCCTCCTCCTCGGCCCCCTCCGGCTCGCTGTCGCTCCTGACCTCCCAACGTTTGCCCATCTGCCGAAGGCCTCCGACTGGCTCCTGCTCCTCCACGTGCACGTCGGCACGCGGGAGTCGTCGACGACGACCACCGGCTCTGACAGTGCCATTGGCCTGACCACCGGACGACACATCGTCAGTGATGACGGATGTGTGTGGAGTCATGCCGTCAAGTCCTCCACTGTACGTGAAATAGACCCGCTCCGTCGTCACGTCGCCGCTGACGGGAGTGTCGTCATCGTCCGTCCACTCGTCGTCCGACGTGTCGCCGTCCGCATCCTGCTCCGGCCACGGCCGCAGCTCCACCGCCCTCTTGCTGAACACGTCCTGAACCGGGTCGGCTCTGGACGGTCGACAAGCATGGAAAGCGACGACCTGGCGCTCGATGTCGTGCTCGTTGAAACTGCCAGCAGGTCGCGCTCCCCACACCTCGGGGTCCACGTCCCCCTCGTCGTCCTCCTGCCCTCCCACGGTCTCCTCCTGACCGGTCCCCATAACCCAGGGCAACACGTAGACACTACCCTGCTGTGCGCATCCGGCCAGTTTGAGATTGGTGGCAATCTCAACCAGCTATGCAAGCTTGGCAAAGCGAAGCTGGGGGCGCCTCGCCCTGTTGATGCGCTCGTGCTGCGCCCAGTTCCTCTCCGCAGGAGAGGCGGACGTCCACAAGTGCATCACACACATGGCGATGGTGCGCAACTCAGGGTGATGACGTCTGTGATCACACCACCACTGGGCACAACGCTCAGTCTCACGGTCCCCCCGACAGTCGTCGGCCTCGGCATCGGACAACTGCCGATCTCCCCAATCTCCCCGCCGCGAGTGGAAATGCCTGATTTGGTCACGCACTGTCCTGTACAGTCTGCCGACCGGATCGCCGCCAGTCTGTGCGAGCAGGAATGTGTCGCACTCCTCGACCACACGGGCCTTGTCGGTAGCCGTCTGCAACGACTCATAATATCGGAGGGACCGACGGCGAGGGTTGAGGAGGTGTGCCGCAGCATGTGCGGGCTCGAGCATGTGGAGGTTGCGGACAGCAACCACTCGCATGCACGGCTCGACCATGTCCGCCGGCACATCCACCCTCCTCATCAACTCCAGAAGATGCTGACTCCACTCGTAAACGATGGACATCATCATCCCCTCTCTATCCATCCTCCTCAACAGTTGGTGGATGGGCGACATAACGTGGATGGCACAGTCAACGCATCGCCAGAACTCGCCGTCGTGGATCTGCTGCTGAACAGACTGTGCCTGGGAGACAAGCCTGCGCTCCCACGGGATGCGAGCCCACGCGTCGCCGTGCAGCATGCTCTCTAACGCGTCCCCCCGGCCTTTGAGACACGTCAGCATCAGGAAAACAGATGCAAATCGGGTCTCAACGGGCTCAACCATTGTGACACGAGGGCTCATCCTCCTGAAAAGGGCGAACGCAGCGCTATGCGATTTAATAAATTGCACTAACGCTCGGGCACGGATGATGGTCTCCTTGACCCACGCCACTCGCGTCCCGACGTCTGACAACATCAAGTTGCAGACGTATGTGGAGCAAGGAAGCCAAGTGATCCTCCTGATGTCTGCGTCGGGGTCGGTGGCGAATCTGCGGGCCGCCGCCGTATAGTTACTGGCGGAGTCCATGCAGAAGCCGATCACGTCCTTTGCAGGAAAGGACAAGATGATGGCCCGCCACCTACGGTACACGATATCCGCAGTGTCGCCGACAGACCCGTCACGTGCGACGGTGGCGTACAGCAGGGATCCGTTGGCGCCCCCGGCGAGGAAGTTCACGAGCGGCTTGCCGTTGCGCAACGTCCTCCCGTCCGAGAGGATGGTGGCACCGGTGTGTCGGAAAGCAGAGCGCACCTTGCTCACCATCGACACCACCTTCCCCCTCTGCGAAGGGATCCCAGTGCCCACTGTGACCCTGTACGAGGGAAACCGGAACTGAACTGTCCGCGGTAATCTCTGTGCCGCCCGCCGAACCCTCTCGAACCCCGGACCTCGAAAGGCGTTGAATGCCAACCCCTTCGCGTAGATCCACTTCAGCCACGCGTCATGGAACTCGGCCAACTTCTCCTTGTCGTACATCTCGTCGATCGTCGTCTGCTGAGCCCTCTTCTCTCTGGAGGCCTCTCGCACCTCGCCGCCCTCCCCCACCGGCCTCTTCTCCCTCCTCGCGCGCTCCAACTCTGGTCGTGGTGCCCTAGGAGCGCGACCCGCTCGACCGACCGCTCTCGACGTCATCACCACCTCCTCCCCTGGCAGGTCAGGGTCTCCGACTGCCTCGTCAGCCTTCCCCCCCTCCCCAACCCTACCCTCGAGACCCTCCTCCTCATCGAGGGCGTCCTGAACTCCCTCTCTCCAGACTCTCCCTCGTCCATCCGCTGTCGCTGCCCACCCGCAGTCGCTCTCTTGTCTCGTACCCCCTCGTCAGCCATCCACCTTTGCACCCGCCGAGCAGTTGTGGGCTTGAATGTGTAGTTCGTGTCGTTCCATATTTCCTCGAGAACTCTCATCCCCGCAGCCTTGCAGTACTTGGAATGCGTGAAATGGCGCGCGGCCTTCCCCGCATTCCCTTGAAACAAGTGGCCGCGAAAGTTGCAACGCAACTTTCGGTCCCCATGCATCTTCGTCTGGTTCCCCACATATTGTCCCACAGTTACGAAGTTCCACACCACGTTCCCCTGCCTCAACTTCGCCATCTCCCTCTCAGACTGCGCAATGAACCCCCCACCCGCAGAACCCCCCATACCGCTGGTCCCCGCACCCCCCGTCATCGTCCCCTGACTCGAAGCGTCGTAGTTGTCATGTCGTCCGTCGATGTCCTCCTTCCCGGCGCTCCATCGACGAATGGCCCCGATGCCGCTGCAGCCTCCACGGCCCGCGGGTCCAGATGTTACAGCTCTCCTCGGCCTGGTTGAACCTGGCCGTCCTCAGGCCCCACTGGCCGGTCGAGCACCCGGCCACGATCAACCTCGTTCGGCCGCGACCGGCCGCAATCGGCCGCAATCGGCCTCGATTGGCTGCAATCGGCCGCGGCCGAGCACTAAAATCGCTGCACACGAAAAAGGCCGCGCGGTGATGGTGACCGCCAACGACCGCGCGCTGGGCGATGGCAGCGCAGCGGCGGCGACCGCCTGCGATCAGGCGCCACGGGCCCGCGCAAAGAAGAAGAAGAAGAAGAACAAGAACAAGAAGAAGAAGATCTCTCTCTCTCTCTCTCTCTCTCTCTCTCTCTCCCTCTCCCGCCGTAGCGGTATCTTCAGCGCAGCAGGTACATAGTAACCCAATCTTGTATCGCTCAACCTTACTCTCTCTCTCTCTCTCTCTCTCTCTCTCTCTCTCTCTCTCTCTCTCTCTCTCTCTCTCTCTCTCTCTCTCTCTGAGCGTGCGAGCAGGTAGGGCGGCATCCTAACGGCAACAACAACAAATTTTGTCGTTTTAGATAAATGGCAGCATTTATCTGAAACGGCAACAGATTTGTCGT